TATTGGAGCTTGTCCAGTCTCTTTAGATTGGCCTGTGTTGCACAGTGATAGAGTATGTCACAGTAATCGAAAAGTGATTGGATATAAGAATTGTACATGATGTTGAGCTGTTTAGATTTAAGTTTGCTTTTGAGTGGTTTCATTGGATTTAGAGCTTTTTGAATTTTGTCAACAAGATAGTTTATATGTTCAGAGCCGCTGAGTTTACTGTCAAAGTAGAAGCCTAGATGTTTATGCTGATTATGCCTAGATATTGGCTGATCATTCAAAAAGACTTGTTCATAATTATGGGTGTTTTTTTTGAAAAAATGACTTCTTTACTTTTTTCAGGTTTGAAATCTAACTTCCAGGATTTAGACCACTGTTCAATGGTCTTCAGGTCATTTTGTAGCAGTTTATGAGATTCTCTATCATTTGGAGTACATGGGACAAAAATAGATGTATCGTCAGCGTAAATAAAACATTTTGAGGTCAGGTTGTCTGGGAGATCATTGATATAAATCAGGAAGAGCAAAGGTCCGAGGATACTTCCTTGAGGGACTGAGGGGTTTATATAGTTGTCTGGTACGTGATGCTGAAGAGGATGATCCGTTAATAGTAACCCTAACTTTTCTATAAGTTAAATATGATTCGATAAATTGTAAGAGATTTCCTGAGATTCCATAAGATTTAAGTTTATGAATAAGCAAGTTATGCGGAACCTTGTCGAACGCAGCCGAAATGTCAAGGAAATTTGCTCTAGTGTCGAAGTTATTGCTAAAGTTGGTCCATAAAAGATTTTGAATGGCTAAAAGCTGAATTTCATTACTGTGCCCTTTAAGAAAACCAGACTGGTATTTGTAAAGTAAATTATTTTGGTCAAAGTGAGCGTACATTCGATTATAAACAACCCTTTCAAGAATTTTTGATATAATCGACAAAAGTGAAATTGGTCGGTAATTCTTGATGTCATTCGAGGTGCCATCGAACCCAACACACCTCCGTCCCCATCCGATGGATCTGTACATTTATGCATGTTCATAGATTCATCTTTTATTGCCAATTAGACCATGATTCAAACAATCACAAGATAATTAGTCCAAATAGGCATGGCAATAAATGCAACCCTGGGGAAAACCAATGATAAAGATGATTAAAAAACGTGGATTTTACATTAAATAAATACTAGTATTCTCTTACTTGTCGAATCCTGAAGAACAACATAGATGTTCAATGAAGGTAAAAATAAATGTGTTATAATTATTTTTAAAGATTTGAACAAAAATACAGACGGACAGAAGGTACATTTTCAATTTAACAAATAAAATAAATATATCATGCTAATTACCTCTCAAACAAACAATTTATTAGTAAATCAGTTGTGAACTGATACATGTAAATATTAAGATTTGATATTTTTAATTTTTATCGACCTCTGCTAGACCCTTCATTGATAAGTAAACGGTAATGTTGACAGGTGCTCAACAGGCGAAAACGTATGTAGGAATAAGTGTTTTAATATTTAAAAGTATCAAAACGAGTGCTATATCAACAGGAGGCAACATTTCAACTAGGGCTCATCTGAAAATTTCCTTTAGCTCTAATTGTTTTCACAGTGGTTTTGTTCTTAAATAATCCAAACACTGGTTTGCAATTGTTAACACTCCACGCCCTTTAAACCTTTTAAACGCATGACTGTGTTCATAATGTTTTTAGATTCAAGGGACATGATGATGGAACTAATTAGAATAATCATTTCAATTAAGGTACATCTGGAAAGTAACATTTTGGTAAAACATTGCTATACCAGCACATGTTATTTTCTGGTACAAAATAAAATATGAAGACATGTGTCAATTGCCTTGCTTTTTTCAGGAAAGTATCATTACATTGTCTTCTTTAAGAATATCTAGTAGGAGTTCAATTGGAACTCAAGGAAATTCTGATATTTCACACTTTCTATTTTTCCAAATTTTCTTTCAAAGTTTCCAGACAACACAGGAGCTACCATTGACCTGTTTCCAGGTTTACTAAAAGTAGACAGTGTAATGATACTTTCCTGAAAAAAAGCAAGGAAATACACACGTGCCTTCATACTTAATTTTGTACCAGAAAATAACATGTGCAGGTATAGCAAATTTTTACCAAAATGTTAGTTTCCAGCTGAACCTTAATACTTAGATAAAATAGAATGGAATAAACTTGATAAAGACGACATTTTTTACCGATTTTAACCATTCATAAGGAAAACAAACCCCAGATATCCCAAAATATGATCTATCATGTAAAGAAAAAACTATGTCTAATTTATTTCCCAGCACTCTCTAGTTCTCAGTCTACAAACTTACGCCCAAAAAGCGCCCTAAACTGAGCGGGTGATTATCAAGCTTATGTGTCAACATAGTGTCACTTTGTTGATATGCCTGCGATTTATTTGCCAGATGCAGTCTTAGGGTTGCCTTGAGCCAAAATAGAACAAGATCACATTTCACTTTTCAGTCTTGCTTTTAAGAATTCACTGGAAAACACTATCACAATGTCCTCAGATCTAATAGATAATTAGGTTAGTTTTATATTGGTTGACTATCAAGTTTTAAAAGTTAAAAAGTACAGTTTAGTTCATGTGTTGAAACTCAACAAAGTATTTCAGATTGATATTCAAATACAGAAAATAATACAGAATTAGAAAAGCCCTGTTTATGTTCATTAATAAAGAGGACATTGAAAATTAAAACAGTTGGAATATTCAAGCATTTTGCAATTGATCTGTTGATTCAATGAGTTTCTTTCTGGAATTCTGTTGATGGTAGTAATAGTAATTTACACAATGTAGCTGTTAACAAAACATGTGAGTTTTAAGTGAAGTTAAAACATAAAAATATTTTGTTATTAATTTCATATTTGTGTGTGCTCCAAACTACTATCAGTGAACAGATAGTGAAAGTACCATATGATAGGGACGAACCATTACTTTCAAACATATATTTCTGAATTGATATGATCTGCAAGGGCAAAATGTCAAAACTTTTTAATATGCTAAGCATGCGCTTAAAGTATTCCTCAAGTAGAAAGTTAAAAAATCCCAGAAAACAGAAAAGAAAGGTAATTTTCAAGATTGTTTATATTATTTGTTGCATTGGTTAATACAATAATCATTCTGATCAAATGAGGCTCCCCTTTTCGTAGATTGTGCAATATACCATCACCATGCTGCATTGGGTGGGGAGGGGGATTATCACTGTTGAGGATATCAAAAGTTATAAAACATACAATGTTTTACGAGAAATCAAACAATTTGGAAATGACATCCTTAATATGGGTGGGGACAATTACTTAACTTATATCTCTGATAGCAGTTTTGAAGTTCATTTTTAAATACTGGGATAATATTAACAAAAAATTTTACATGTATTTATGCATGTCATAATTTCAATACATTTATTTTGTAAATATATTAAAAAATTAATTCAAGGTCAACGATAAATTTAATTTTGATGCACACACATAGTGCACTTATGTCAACAAACATTACCTCAGAAAAAGCATTGACCTTTCTCAACTTGCTAAATGATATTTTTCATAAGAAGGGAGTTTCAAGATATGTATTATAGTTCTGTAATTGAGCACTTATTTATAAATAAGTCATTGCTAAGTTACTACCCTTGAAGAGCTTGAATTTAGTTTGTTGTGAAGTATGTCAGTCCCATGTAGTTTCATATGCTCTCACTTTTGTGTATTATACATTACATTTATTCTACAGATGTTCTAAGAAGCTTTGTGCCTGAGAAAACGCATGGGCCTTTCTCATCTTGCACCAAAAATGATTTTTCATCAAGAATTTCAAGCTCAAGATGAAATGTATTCTACTTCTGTATATTTGATATTGAGCATTATATGTTATATTAATTAATTCAAAGTCAACAATGAATTATTTTGATGTGCACACTTATTCAAACCACACTAGCATTATGTATGAGAAAATGGAGGGCCCTTTCTCATTTTGCTCAAAAAATGATTCTTCATCAATTATTTTTTCCCATTGATGACAAAATAATGGATGAAAACTTATATTATCACAATACTGGATGAGAAATTCTACTTTTGTAAAGGTTTGTCCATATAATATATATGTTTAATCACAAAATAAAGAAATGTGGTTTGATTCCACTACAGCCCATTTCACTGTTTTATTTCGTCAGTAGAACCCCAAAAATAAGAAAAGAATTTCAGCTATGTTAATCTTTTTGAAAATACTCTGGCAGAGAAGCATCAAAATATTTAGAGGCCACATACTTCATTAGGAGATCATATATTATTGCAAAATGATCTTTTTATTTCTTATTTTTTGGTTTTTCTGAGGAAATAAAACAATGAAATGGTACATATTTTCATAGGATTATACATGTTATACTATAAGCATGAAATGATGATGGCTGAGTTGACTCACTTCGAGAGCCATGTTAGATTTTGAAACTTATGGCTATTATATCAAAATCCACATAGCTTTCGCAGTAAGTAAGGCTGAGTGGGTTAATAGTGAGTTAGTTATCAGTAAATAGATTAATATTCTCAATACAATTCGCATATCATAAGTAATACAGTTGAAGTATCATCAAAGCAAAATATCAAAGTAAGTTGCATTCAAATCGGAGTGTAGAATTAAGTTTTCCGTATACATACTCTGTATTGGATGCTCTGCACTGAGCCTTCCAGCACAGTGTACAAGTAAACTAGCGTTTAGCCAGTAGGATAAAAAGCATACAAGTTGACCTAAAGCTGAGTATATAGAGTATCCCATTACCATGTTACAGCAGAACTAGACCACTACAAGACCAATGAATCTATCTAAGCATATCACTTGGTGACAGACTGTTGACACTAATTTGTAAACCTTGTCAGAAGCTCTAATGTGTTTTTTGGTAGCAAAATTGGCGTATGGTTATAGACTGTTCTCTCTCTCTCTCTCTTCGGATATACAACTGATATGAATAAAAAAGCTCATAGACATTGAAATTTCTTTACAGGCACTTAAAACCGAAGTGACATATAGATAAAATAAAAAAAAGAAGTGCGTGTATACTTAGGTGATGATATTACCTCGTTCGACCTGATTAATATTATTAAACTGACACAGATTTTCACTGTATACACGATATACATGTAAGTACTAGACCATCCGGCCCTTGCTAATAACCATACTCCAGAAGGAAGGATTATATCTGTGATTTCCTACGATTGTCAACACGTATTCAAGGTGGTATTTTTCATGTACCATAATTGAAGTAAACGTCTGCTATTACAATCGATTCAGATGGACTCGCACGAATAACATCTTTAAAGGAGACGTATGAACCAATATAATGGCTCTATCACATATTGATCCACGTAATGCTAGACTACTATTGTGATTTACAACCAAGGTCAGGACAAGGCAATACCAGGAGAATACACATACAGGTATGTGAAGGTATTGGTTATAAAATCAAGGTACCCCGTATCATTCTATGTATTATGCACTGCAGAATGCCGTGCACATATGGCTGGTCCATTGGCTACAGATCTCCATGTTTACACAGCAACCAACAATATCAAAACAATATAGGTTTAATACAACTCGAAGATACACAAATATATACACAAAATATATACATATACATGTATACGGATATAGGAATTCCACTTGCTTCCTCTCACATCTGTTGCCGTGGGAATTAATTTAATCTAGGATGAAGGGGACAGGTGTGGTAGGGATACAAAGATACATGTACATGCATCTCTATTGTATAGAGGTTTATTTTCTGAGAATGCCGTAATTGATTTATCACTATCACACCGGAATAGCCTGACAACGGTAAAGTCAGATACCGTTGTCACAAATGGCGGACATACCGTCACTGAATTAATTTCATTAAATTAATGTTAGATCTGAGAATAGAAGGAATTACATACGTATAATAATTCTCTCCACTGTAACTTACTAGTATATTGTTAGATAATTAATGATTATTTCAAACTATCTACATTTTAAGATTATACTTCGGACTTAAAGGTTTTGATAAGAAATGTACTTAGCGAGCAATTTAAATCTGAATTCCAAATATTTCGCGTGCAAACTGATAAAATTCCGATTGTAACACAAGTACAAAGAAAATGTCAAATATCCCCAAAATCGGATTTAGAGAAAACGGCTTGCTTCTGAGGATGATAGTACTTACTCAAATGGATAATGATTTTGATCTTGAATTATTCACTAATAAAGAAACCAACTCAATGGAGCTTTACAATGTATTCTGATACGTTAGTATCATTCCCCGTTTGAGTCAGTATCCTCACAACCAATATGTAATTCCGGCTATTACAGCCATATAATTAAACTACAAACACGGTAATGCTTATGTTATTTATTTTTATGTGTCTGCTGCTTATGAATGGTTTATTGGATGTCTGTTAAATGTTAATAAGGTACTTTCAAAAATATACTAAACAATACAATTAGACAAACAGAATGGCTTATGCATCTCTAGGGGTTAGGTATAGTAGCGTGTGTTTACGACTATTTATCCCCAGGATAGGCACAGTATACAAATCACGACGAATATGTATATCACTCGCTGCAATAAAGTGTCACAACGCTCTAAAATACATGGAAATTGCTTTCAAGTTTTATGTCTTTTTATTTTTATGTTTCAGGTATCCTTCACAATAACGTTAGCATCATGATTTATGTAGGCCTATGCTATGGATATTAATGTTGATAACAACATCCACGTAATATTAAAATGAGCCCATGTCACTTGGCATGTTCATGCTCAGGGAAATAGTTTAGTTTGAACAAATTCGCACCTCTTGGAAGAAAATCTGTGATACCGAGCTGCCAATAGTATAACCTGCATTATGGGTGAGATGATGATAAGACGTGAACGTTATGCGGACAGGGTGTTGTTGGTGAATGACGACATCGATATCATGGATAGGGGTGATGCGACAACAACCAGCACGATGCAAGACGAGATGTGTGAAGTAGATAGTGCTGGAACATCCAAAGAAGCTGAAGATTCAGACACTCGTTGGAAATATGCTAGGAAATATGTAATTGGAAAAACGTTTGCTCTTGGATTTACATGGCTGCTTTGGGTAAACAATAGCATTATGATATTAAATATAAATGAGGATGCACAGTAACATAAATTGATTGCTGCATGACGGTTAATTTGAGAAACATCGTGTATTTAATTAATTCCAATTATGTTTTCATCTTTCACCTTCGTGATTCCAACTGAAGTAACATATTCAGCCTAGTTATCAACTCCTCATTTATCCAGATTTAGACCTTGATTATATATTTTGCAACAATTTCAGGGTGGTTTTTCCAGCTTAGTAACAACAACTTTACCAGACATAAGGATGCGAGTAGACGTGGATTATGAAGAACTGTCTAGGGCAATGGCAGCAGGAAGTATAGGCGCCCTCTTTGGGCATCCTGTTGGTGGAGTCGTTGCTGACAGGTATATATTACTATGGTATTTAAAGCACTAAAATTAGACAGCAACAACTCCCCGGAGTAGCAAATCCCACCGAACAAAACATATTTCATCAAATCATTAAACATGGTCTCATGCTGGAAAGCAGTCACATGACTTTGACGGCCCTTTGAATCAAAATATCAAAGTAGAGAGAATTTTAAAAAATCATTTGATTGAATTTGTCCTTTTTATCACACTTATTTATACTTCACAATTATATACTACAGTATTTAGTTACTTTAGATCAGGCAACTGCTTGACAGGCTAGACTTCGACCTTGGGTTGAACAGCTAGCACCTGTTGATAGTGGCATCATTGTCATTATCATCACATTCTATGTCATTGAAACCTTTTTAGAATATGCCACATATCTGAAACCAATATATACAGGGTGTGCCAAAAAAACACCTCCAACCAGCTTTTCTGATAAGTAATTATTTATTTATTATTTATACACCGAAAATGATATATCATTTTAAAGATAATTTAATTTGCAACAAAATGAGCAGCAACCCTGACTTGAAATATAACCTATTATGTGACATTTCGTATGATAGGGGTAAAAAACACCAATATTTCTGATAAATATTAACTTTTTAACCAACTATGAAGTATCATTTTAAAGATAAAATAATTTGCAACAAAATGATTTATATAATATTTTTAACAACCCTTGCTCGAGATATAACCAATTATATGACATGGGGGGGGGGAAACACCTTCTCAATTTCCATAGATTTTGCGAACAATAGCTCATTATTCTATCAAATACTGTTAAGTTAAAACTTTCAAAATTTTTCTATTGTATATATCATTTTTGGTGTTTTTGTAAAAAAGCAAATATCTATCAGGAATATTGGCTAGGGGTGATTTTTGGCCCACCCTTTGTGTTCAATTTGTTTTGATATAAGGGAGGCCAATACTGTAATTCTTACCCAGGCCTTCTTGTATGTTAAATATTGTTAAACAAAATTATGCAAATACATAAAAACTTAAATTCAAAGTCTCGACAAAGATGAATATATTATGTTTACTTTTGATCTTTCACCATTTGATAAAAGTTGGGTTCAAATTAATCGTTCTTGATAATAGAAGCAGAACATCTCGGAATACATGTTTTCACATTTCTTCCAGATGGGTTAGAGCTCGTGATCTTCATATCATAGTATTCTGCAGTCTACAAGTGTTCACCGTTGCTATTAGACCTTGGGTGCGCCATCTATGGGTACTTGGGGTACTCACCTTCTCAGAGGGTTTTTTCTCAGGATTCTTTTCTAATGGTAGGCTGACGTTTTGATATTAACAAAATATATAATCACTAAAAACTGTTGGTAATTACAATGTGACCTTTAAGTGTGAGCCATTAAACACAATGTTCTTTTTTGTACATAAAACCTATAACGATGGTTTTAATGTTAGCATAAAAGAAAGAAGCACATTAAATCACTGATCTGATCAGTCACAATTTATGGTATCATGTGATTATTTTCACACACCGATACAGTTGCAGATACAGTATCATTAAATGGGCGACAAAGCCTGTAGAGAGAAAATGTGAAAAATGTTACTTTTTCTGAGTTATCAGGGCAACATTTGGCTTAACATCGTCTTTAACATACCTATTTTCTTAAAATGTATGGATAAACTATCAATCAGCATTAAGAAGTGTAAATTCAGTTCAGGCTTCTATAAAGGGAGTCCCACTTATAGATTTTTGAGATCCACCACGTATCAAGAGGAATATCAGCTGAAATATGTACATCCAGGGGGTTTCTTTGGAGATAATAAAAATATATTAGTCTTGATGAAATATCCAAACTTAGAAATATTTTGACACTGGTCCATGATCGTTGAATGGCCTCTCTGCACTAATTGTTGCATCTTTAAAATAAAATAGAAATTCTACCAGAAATGTTGTTGATGTTTTATCACTTATTGGGTTTTGATAATAAATCCATTAAAATTATCGTGCATAATTGATATTCTGTATTTGATACTGATTTACTATGTTACATACAATTATCATTGTTAAAAAGTTTGTATTTGTTTACTTACCTTTCTTTTTGTTTTTTTTTCAAAATCTTACCCTTCATTCTAATTTCTCAATACAGGTATGAACAACATGTTTGATAGATTGTGGGGAGAACGCGTAGCGGGTCCTCGTCATGCGATGTCAACTGTTTGGACAGTTGGGGAACTTGTTGCTCCTTTACTCTGTCGGCCATTTTACTTGAAAAGCGAGGGAGACATTATTCCAACAGAGGGACTCGCGAATGCATCTTCAGCAATAACAAACTCAAGTGTAATCGTCCAAGATTGTTTACTAGGAACGCAAGACAATAATGTAACTATTGTAAATCACAATTTAAGTCTGCCGGTGATTAACACTATGAATGCAACCTTGACAAGTATGAATCTCACAAACTGTTCACTATATGCAGGCGTAAACATGACAGGAAACAATACATCAAATAACACGATGGATGAGGAAATATGGACAGCTATAGAGTACCCATACCTGATATTGACAGTGTTTACAATTTTTCCCATTATTGCAGTATGTGGGTTTTATTACAAAGACAGGACATCCGGTGAAAAGTATTATGCAAAATCCGCGCATCTGGACAACCACAAGCGTGGCCATGATGAAGATAAGCCAGTACCATTGCGTCAAATATTTTCCTTTAAACGTTGTGGTCAAGGAAGTAATGCATTCGGAGGTATACTATTCCTGCTCATATGTCTGTATTACTTCACTTTATGCTTCACAGCTACTCCATTCGGAAATTTTATCATGGCATATTCAGTTGACACACTTGGTTTCACTAAATCAGAGGCTTCTCTACTGATAATGTCGCAAAAGGTAGTTTTTATAGTTTGTGGTATAATTTGGGGCGTATTAGCACATTATGCTCCCATTCAAATTCTGCTTCCTGTTCAAGTCTTTGGACAATTAGGGATAACTTTGTATTTCAATTTCTTTGACATATATACACATACTCAAATGTATATGTTTACGTGCCTATACGCAGTTTTGTCCGTGGCAAATTGGGCCAGTGGTATAACATGGGGACTTAGATATATAGACTTTACATCAATGACATATATGGGAATGCACGTATCATGTTCCATTTCATCAATGGTCGCTACGTGGGCAGCAGGCTACGTCATGGTATATGGAGGGCACATAGCATTGTTAAGATTACAACTTGGTGGGAATGTGACATGGTGTGTTGTTGTAATTTTAATGCAGATAGCCGGCTCATACAAAGGAGAAAAATTTAAGAATAATCTAGAACCTGTTGAACTTGATGAACTTGTAGAAAATGATGAAGTGCCGTTATTGTCAGAGGGTACGGAAGAAAATGAGGATGTACTACAGTAACAATATTTTGATAAAACCTTAATTTTTGGTAAAAACTAAATCCAACACATGTGAAATATGAAGCGTTTAATCTGTTTCCCAGGATTTAAACCACATTTCAAAATAAAATTCTTATTTCTTATGTGTGTATCATCCGAGAAACCTGCGATAAATTCATTGGACACTATGGTGCTATTTTCAAATTTTATTTTGTGATTTCCGAACTGCAATTCACGAAAAGAAAACTAAAAGGGAAAATATGTTATTTTCCAAAGTAAAGCATTTGGTCGAAAATATATGCCAAATGAATATTTAAACTCACAAAAATATTTATTCTTTGATGTATTTTATTTGTCACATCTCAATCTAAATGATGAGCTGTTATGATTGGTCAGATCACGTCACATGATCAGTTGATATATCAATTTATCACATCTCAAAATAGAATTATGGACTCTGGTTGTTTAGATCACGTAACATGATCAGTTGATAATTGAATATAACACATTGAAAATCCCGGATTTGCTATGTGATATTGTTGAAATTAATTCCTGGATGGACTACGTGATAATGTTAAAGAACCCGGATGGGCTATATGATATTTCATCTCAATAGGCAATAATGGCATTGGAGACAATGTTGCTCAACTGGTAGCACGTATTTGTCGACATAAATATTATGTAATTTCATTATCAAGACAGTTATGAATTGTTTTGTATTTAAAATATGTCATGTTTTATCAATAAAAAAAACTATTCAGATGTTCACGAAATAATCACTCTGTATTTCAAATATGTTAAGTGCTGTGATAATATATTTTATGTGATAAACAGATTATTTTTTTCGGAGAATACTTTTTTACATTTTTAAATCAAAATGTTTTAAAGAACTGAGAGATATATTTATTTCTGAAGATTGGTACAATCATATATTGTGTAGTGTGCAACAGCATTACCAAATGATTGTCTTCATTTGCCAATTCTAGAGGAATGCTAGATGAAGCACGATTAAAGGTAAATGTTTCAAGTGTTTTTACCAAAAGTGGATGCTGTAGACGTTGAAGTGTGAGATACAATGATGTTAGCAGTGGCATTGGCGTAGCTACATGTATACGAAGTACGCTGAGTATAAGAGAAAAATAATATTTTGCAAAACATAAAGGAGTGGTATCGATATGATGAACTTTTGAACACGCGTTTCTCTTAAACCAGTCATAAAAAATCTAAAAATTTAACACATCCTCAATTTAATGATCATCTTTTGAATGGTAACAATATAATTTGAAATATATAAATATACTTTCATCTATATTGTTTTAGAAAACATATCAAACACTTGTTTATTCTTGGTATAATGTTTCCAGAGTGAAATGAAACATCTTTCCGAACCTCATTGGAACAAAACGACTAGTATTTTTTTCATTGAAACTCAGATTTTGATCTCTATTGGTTTTACGTGCATATTAAAACATGAAACGGGCAGTATCACATTTGTCCCCATCGATCATGCACTTAGCAAATGATATCTGGAGGCTTTGATTATGTTGTTGTTTGCTACCATATATCTATATATATTTCTAGTATGACCCTTGCTGCATAGACATCAGGTGTATTTACAATAAAACATATTAAAACTAAATGGTCTAGCCAGAGGCAGTCGGGAGGAGGTGCTTAAAAACAACAACATCTTTCTTGGATGTGATTGTGACTTCTGTGTACACTTATGAACAGTCTAGCTAAGCCTATTCTCAGGGCTCTTACCTATTCTGTATTTTTTTATATATATACACAGTGACACTCAAAGACAAAAGACGCTCAAATGTATGTTTACGTGCCACTAAACAGTTTTGTCCGTGGCGAACTGTTTTTTTTTTATCTTAACAAGGATACATATTCAGTTCCTAAACACTTTCACCATCTTTTAAACAAATATAACGAATAATTTTCAATTCAGAAAAATCACATTTATACAAAAAAAGAGGGCAAGCTTAACAAATGACTACGATACAGACACCTTTTGTGTTCTTTTGCTTCTAAATTGATGGTGGTATTGTGTTGTATTTCTGAGGCTCTCATGAAAATTGTTTCTAATGCTAAGAAAACCTTAAAGGCTCACTATGCGTACTTTCAACATTTTTTGGAAAAATTAAAGACTTACTTTTGAAATTCGTAATATTTCCAATAGATTGATAAGTACGTTATCTTTAATCAGACATCAAAAACAACTCAAACGGGCCACATAAAAGCTTACAATAAATTGTCAAAAAATATTTTGGATCCGTCAAGTTTTTATATATCAAGTTTTTACAAAAGTTAATGAAAGATGGCGATGCTGTTCGACTTCCAATATGGCTATAAAAGTTGAAATCGAAACAACTGAAACCTTATGAATCAAAAATTGAAGATGCATTTATTCATCAGAGCCAATCTTTTACAAGCACTCAACAGACCAAAAAAATTTATTTGTTATCCAACTATATATTATTCAGAATGCACACCTTAGCTAATGCATTACAAAAGATGGCATTAAGTCATACTCAGATGGGATGGTTACATTTACTTCATTTATAATAGGGTAGTGTTTATGTTCTGTCACTGCTTATATAGACTGATCAATTATTCATGGGTGAATGAATTTGTATCCTAATGTATTTTCGTGCCGTACGTGTTTATTTGTTCTTTTAAAGGGGTGGGTATGAGTGCTATCTTTATATTTTCTCTCTGCATATATATTTGTGAAATGAATACTAATAATATTAAATGGAAGAGCTTAGAAACTTGATGAGATGTATATTGTTTCTAAATCGGATTACGGTTAATTACGTTTTCCGTATATGAAACGTACGAGTCATGTTAGGTACGTTATAACTGAGTCATGGACATATAATATATAACTATTTTTGCTATCGCTACTGGTGCTTTCTCATATGGTTGTCGTTGCAGTATCTTGAAATATTAAAATATCTTGTATTAAAATATAATCGGGATACCTGATGGCTCCTAACGTGAAAACGTGGTAGGGTTTATACTGTACTGCACTACTAGAACAAGCCATATTCTTCCTTGTATGATTTAAAGGCATTTATTGTATAACTACGTATACGATACAATCCTGAATGAATTATATAAATATCAGGATAGTCCGGATATGAAGTCGTCATGTAGTCTATCCTTGATATAAACACTGAACAAAAAACAAAGTCTTATTTTAATAACATAAATATGTATTTCAAGATTTTATTCATGCTTAATTAAACCAATATTCCTGGCGCATGTATTAATCTAAGATTTGTATTTCTCCATGCGCAATAACAATAACGTACTTTATATACTGCAACTGTTTCAATATAAGACTACATTAAATGCGGTTTCGCCATTAATGGTAAATTTACAATAATATAAACATGTTCTCCATAATTGGATAATTGTTTGATTGCACTGCATGAATAATATGTTATCTTGTTCTAAAATTGTTCAATTTCCATAGAGTTTAATGTAAGCACTGAAAACGTACATGATACACACTCTCCTAAATGAATAAACGCAAAGGGCGTACACGTCTCGAAATCACGACCTTATGGTTCCGGACACAGCGCCACCGTGTTCAGTGTTCTAGAACTCGACAACTCCAAAAGAGTTTGTTTCATCGGCCAATCTAACTAGAGGGGAGGAACAGGTGTTAACAAGTTTAAGTTGGGCAACCTGAATTCTTCATATGATGGCATGCAAAAGCATGTTTAAGTTGATGAAAATGTATGACAAATGTAATGAATTTGTTGAAATCAACAAGCTTAACCAGACTTTGACACGTTGTCTAAAATGGGAATCCAAGTTGCCAAACTTTTGTAAGTACTGCAAACAAAGTGCAATGCTTCGGCATGAGTTCTGTCTTTTTACTTAAGAAAATATGTACATAATAACAATACATTTTGAATGAAATATGGAAATGTCAAAGTATGAACATATCTCATTTCCTATCAACAGCTTGTACTATTATATTTTTAAAATATATATTAGTTGAATAGAATGTCATGGTCATATGTTAACTATTAATCGTGTTGTTCTGTATAATGTAGATATATATACACTTTTAATATACATATCATGATGTAAAATTGTACATAACATCATATATACATAAAATTATTCAGTGCTTATATTTGATCTGCACCGAATAAATAAATTTGTATTTACAGTATTTTACATAATGTACATACGTCTATATACTTGTTTATACAGTGACTATGAATTTAGTTTTCCCATTCTATACTACTGATTCGGGATACGCTTGATTGCCTATAGGTAAACGCAATTAAATCAATACATTATCTGATTATTCCTTAAAATATAATGGTATCTTATAAATAAATAATGAATTCAATGTGTTGTTTTTAGATAAGTAAATGGAATGTTATAAATGATCTAAAATAATCATCCTTGTGAAATACATTGTTTTCGACTTGATATATTGCACATGACACAATTCACAGCATATTAAAGAGAGAATCAGATCTAGCGAGCAGCCCAACAAAAATTTGTTTCAATTTTAGAATGTTTCTGGCTCATGTTATTCCTTTTCATGTCTATTTTCTTAAAATCACCAAAGTCCTTTATTTCAGGAAAACTAAAGATATTTCCAATAACGTATTATTTTTCTATAAGAATGGTTACCATTCTTATTATTTGGGAGATTTTAAACATTTTTCACTCATTTTTGCACTTTGAATCCATCATAACTTCACCAATTTATAACATAGCGTGAATCTTTTGGAAGATATTGTATTTGAGATTGTAAGGAATAGATTGGTAGGTCAATTGTACACATTGCTTGTAACTTTTTCACCCCATAGATCTGATTCTGCCTTTAATAGAATAGAAATTCAAAATAAGTGCCATGGGCGTTTTAAACTAATAGATTTACGTTCACTCCTGACCACAGCCTGTAAGTCTATTTGTACAGTAATCTTTATGGGGGCTGAATGATGTCAATTGTAGATGTCATTGATTATTACACAAATTGTTTTTGCTAATTAGTGTCTCGGTGAAATGTTTCATAACACTAAGTACTCTGGAAACAGGATAGAACATCCCGGTTTAGTGTTGTTGGCCTAGACTTACATGCTAAAGTAGGCATATGCTTACATGTTATAAGTGAAATGTAGACACTGATATTTTAATCCAATTATATACACAAAGAAAATAAAAGTCTTATAGAAATTTGCAGATTATACTATCGTGCGATGAAAAACATTCCCCCATTAGACATTAGGTTTTATCATAGGTTACAAGATGACTATAAGAGTTGAATGAGGCAAATTGTCATGGGATTCAATAGGTGATAAACCAAGAATCAAATAAAGTATCAGCAGCTACTTGTTATATTAGCGTTAAAATACTTCGCTTTTTACCCTTTGCATTCGTTCAACTTCACTTCTTAAAAGAGAGCTCCGTAGTTTAACTAGACTCTGCACGCAGGGTATTCGCTTTTCCGTTCTATCTTTCTAAATGAAGGAGCTATGTTACCATGCTTTGTCAAATCAATTATATTGAACTGTAGTTTTATTAGATGTACGCAAATTATGTTTTGGTCAAATTCAGTTGTTAATAGGGTAGGGTGAAAAAGTTATATTTTTATTTCTTTGATTAATACACATCTGTTTTGAGTCATGACCAAACAGCAAAACCGAATATTCAACTTCTAAATCGAAATTAATTTATCAATTTGAACGTCTCGCATTCATTGCAACTTTACCAAACTAAGCGTAAGTAACATTGTGGTTTTACTGGAACCATTGATTAGAATAGTGACAACCCGGAAGTGACAATTAAGCTTATGTTTCAGCTATTAAAACTCTCAGAGATGGTGTGACGCAATTTTAACCAATATTCACAAACACGGGAAAATTAGGCCAACATATTAGCTTGCCCTGATACACACGAATTGTTTACTTTTCTGAACCAACCGACCATCCTTGCTGCAAGGGTATTTTACAAGTATATACTGAATTTAAGCATAAATGAAGTCCTTTGAAGAAGGATGCAACCGACTGTTATGCAGTTCTGGGCCTGTGATTGTTAATGAAGAAATTGTCACTTTGACCTACTTAAATTAAAAACGATCGATTCGACAGTGCATATTTAGGAGAATATGCACATCGAGAGATGTATTAGATAGTTAGTAATGTGTTACGATCTGGGTGATCTGTCAAGAGTCATAAATTATGAAACATTTATCCAGAATGAATGTCTTTCTCACTATAGTTAATGTTAATATATGGTAGTCCACAATAGGTTTCTTTATAAATTTGATAAACTGTGTATAAAACCAAAATATTTAAAACAGTAAGTCAAACCAGTAGTCAAGGAGCTGTTAAACCAATTCCTATCGAGAAAATATTTGGTCATACCACCACTCCTTGCTTTGGCAAATCGGTAATAGACAAATCAACGTTCGATTGCAAACAGTGAAAACATTATTCATGGCATTTATGGCTTTGCTAATTAAAGTGTTATCTCTGAGAAAGAAGAGATTCTTGAATATCCATAGCAAAATAAAAATATTTATCAACATGCCACAACATGTGACTTAATAATTGCTTTAATGATCCTTAATCTGTAATGACGTTTTCTAACAATGGTACTCGAACTCCACATACGTCATCATGATTGCATCAAAGTAACTCTTCATATTTACATTGATATACGAGTATATCTAATTAAACTTGTAGTTCCTATATTAGTAGAACTAATGTAGACCGATACTTGAATATTATATGCAGTTTTACTTTTGAAAGAAAGTATGTTAAGAATAACCCATTAATCTTTATTGAAATATCAAATATTAATCTTAAAATCTTCAAAACTGCATTAAGTAAGGCTTCAATTTCTAGACTATTACGAATATCTGCAGTTCTAAAGGAAAGTGCACCAATGGTAATGCATAGTTGGCCACACTGCAAATGGATCCATCATACTGACCACCCACGTTCAACCAGACGCCATAGGCAGGAAGAACATTTAAATGTATGTTGGACCAAACGTGATTCAAATTTCTAGTTTTCCCTTTGACTTGAGTGGTCTATCTCTGGTCGTGTCATTGAAGTTATATGATCAGAACTGGTCACATTGGCAATGTCACAAACCCGGTCACACATCATCATGACCTAATTTTTTATTGAGTATAGCTAGCGGGCCAACTCCACCTTGGAAGCCACTGTCATGTCTTTGAAGATGGTGTGATCGTTGGGCAGTCTCTTGCAACTGTTTCTGCATCATTGCCAGTGATAGTTTGTTCGCCTGTAGGAAATCTTTCATAGAAATCATTTCCCCTGATCCCCTGCGTTCAGTGTCACTATCATATGTTGATTCGCCATCAGTTACGGCGCCATTAGTTGCCGCAGCGATATGCCCTGGGGTTATGGCATTCCTCCGTGGACGAGTCTTTACATTCTTTGGTTTATCTGGCCCATAGCATCGACAATTAAGCTTCCGTATTATCCAATTTAAAAATTGTTTTATAACAATAGAAATCACATTGAATAAACTGTATATACAGCAGCAACCTATTACAATGAATAGAAAATTTCCTAGTCGATAGAGATAAACGTTATCATAATGGCTCCTTTGACTTACGACATAGTCACCAAAGCCTATTGTCGCAAAAGTAACAAAACAGAAATACATTGCGTCAAAATAGTCCCATTCCTCAACAGGATAATACATAGCAGATGCGCAGCAGGCGATGAATAGTGCTCCAAGGAAGAGAATGAGCATTACCCAATATACGGAAGGTTTCCAGGAGTCCAAACTATCCCCCGAAGCGTTCGATTCCCGCCTATCCTTGCTATCTTTATTCACATCTTTACCCATAAGTCCCTTGCGCTTCAGTTCCTGTATGTGAATTGCACGTAGGATGTAGGCTAAGAATGTGATGATACGCTCTAGGAACAAGTTGAAAAACAAAATGGCGCCTGCACAGCCCAAGAGTCCGTAGAATATGAGCACAATCTTGCCTGCCTGAGTCCGGGGAGTTGTCATACCAAACCCTGAAACATACAATAACATTTTATAAAAGTGGATTTTACAATTTTAAATATGATTCAATGTATCTTTTACATGTATTATACGTTGCACTGGACTTTAACTATACATTTTGTTGTTACATTGCTAAAGAGGTAACAAGGGTAATGACTTATTGTGTAGATATGCTAAAGTGGTGATGGCATATTCATTGCTTGTAAATAATTAAGATCACGTTCTGTTGATAATGAAATGACATTTCCTCGTTTGCATTTACCTTGAGAATTCTTTCTAATGTTGATAATTCAGAATAATACATGGATAAATGTGAAGATGATATTATGGCTTTAAGTTATGTATCATCAATAACAATATCAGCAACAGCAAACATGAATAACATCATTGCATATATGGTAGTAGTTTTCTGTCCCTGTGGAATATGGTATAATTGGTAGTGGAAATTACTTTCAGTAATGCTCTTCCTCATCGTCGATCCTCAAATGCCAATCTGTCTAATATAACCAACAATATGCGTAATCAGAAGGCAAAACATTCCAAAGGCCAGAAAATACAGGTGGCAAAACAGGTGACAAACGAAGAACAATAGAATCCTAGCCGTCAATCAATATGAACCCAAAAAAACAATTTACGAAATAGTCGATCAACCTACTTTGGATATCGAAGACACAATTACTTGTAAATAATACATAAACTGATTATAGTTAGCATATTATATCCTTATGATGAGATCCAGGATGAAATAATTACCTAATAATATTAACTAAGAAAATATAATTAGAAGAAATGATATTATATTAGAATTCCGTATACGGTTTCCATATAATTTCCTGTTATGTGGTCAGTATTATTCCCGGTTAAAACCAATTAAAAATATATATTACATCTATATAATGCTCATATGATATCTCTTATCTTCTCGCTTTAGCCCAGTGCAAATTTTCAGTAGAACCCTAAAATCGTCCATATCAAAGGTTATCGAGCTAATTAAAGGATAAACTATGAAACTGAAAATAATACCTAAGACAAGTTCGCTTGGCTTGTTTTATTGAATCCATTTCAGAATTACATCACATACTAGAAGATCCTATCACATCCTATCTATCATAGAAATGTCAGAAACTTAAGACGTAAAACTGTAAATTGGATGAATAATCATAATACATAGATGCATCATAGAGAGCACCAAACGACCTCATATTAAATCAAATAGAATGGTTCCTTCTCTAGGCTTCCAACCCATCTTGATTTAATTCGCTCAACTTAATCCTTATTCTTAGACTCCAGATAGTCTATTGTTTTTGCCTTGTTTCTTATTCTTTCTTTTTTCTTTTTCTTCTTATTTTACTGGTCACGTTTTCTCAACAACTATAAGGTATTCAACAAAGACTATTACATGGTCAATTAAGGTATAGTATCTAGTTGGTGGGAAATGGGGCCAAATTTTTATTTTAGTCAAAGGTCAAGAACTAGCTCAAATCCAGTACTTTGTCATTTTTTCGATTTTTTCAGTGGTCGTCCTTCGATATTTTCGCTCTTCGTTTTTTTCATCATGTTTGTTGGAAAAAAGCTAATTCCGAAAGGCAAATAGTTTTTTGATTACTCTTACTGTTTTTGAGATATACCCAGCTAACAATTTTACGTTGTGATAACGTCGTCAGAATATATGTCTCAAGTTGTAGCAACGTTAAATATGGAACGTTGTAGGTACAGGAAGGTGTGGACTCGCACAGATGTTTAAAGAACGTTACATTTGACTTAAATATCACGTGTCAGGAACGTAGTAGCGACCTTAACAATTACGTCGCCAAAATAACGAAACTGTAACGTACTTACATTACGTCATAAATACGTGGCCAATCTAAATTTCTGGTAACGTTGATATGGAACGTTGTAGGTACAGGAAGGTGTGGACTCGCACAGATGTTTAAAGAACGTTACATTTGACTTAAATATCACGTGTCAGGAACGTAGTAGCGACCTTAACAATAACGTCGCCAAAATAACGAAACTGTAACGTACTTACATTACGTCATGTATACGTGGCCAATCTAACTTTCTGGTAACGTTGATATGGAACGTTGTAGGTACAGGAAGGTGTGGACTCGCATAGATGTTTAAAGAACGTTACATTTGACTTAAATATCACGTGTCAGGAACGTAGTAGCGACCTTAACAATTACGTCACCAAAATAACGAAAATGTAACGTACTTACATTACGTCATAAATACGTGGCCAATCTAAATTTCTGGTAACGTTGATATGGAACGTTGTAGGTACAGGAAGGTGTGGACTCGCACAGATGTTTAAAGAACGTTACATTTGACTTAAATATCACGTGTCAGGAACGTAGTAGCGACCTTAACAATAACGTCGCCAAAATAACGAAACTGTAACGTACTTACATTACGTCATATATACGTGGCCAATCTAAATTTCTGGTAACGTTGATATGGAACGTTGTAGGTACAGGAAGGTGTGGACTCGCATACATGTTTAAAGAACGTTACATTTGACTTAAATATCACGTGTCAGGAACGTAGTAGCGACCTTAACAATTACGTCACCAAAATAACGAAAATGTAACGTACTTACATTACGTCATAAATACGTGGCCAATCTAAATTTCTGGTAACGTTGATATGGAACGTTGTAGGTACAGGAAGGTGTGGACTCGCACAGATGTTTAAAGAACGTTACATTTGACTTAAATATCACGTGTCAGGAACGTAGTAGCGACCTTAACAATAACGTCGCCAAAATAACGAAACTGTAACGTACTTACATTACGTCATATATACGTGGCCAATCTAAATTTCTGGTAACGTTGATATGGAACGTTGTAGGTACAGGAAGGTGTGGACTCGCATAGATGTTTAAAGAACGTTACATTTGACTTAAATATCACGTGTCAGGAACGTAGTAGCGACCTTAACAATTACGTCACCAAAATAACGAAAATGTAACGTACTTACATTACGTCATAAATACGTGGCCAATCTAAATTTCTCGTAACGTTGATATGGAACGTTGTAGGTACAGGAAGGTGTGGACTCGCATAGATGTTTAAAGAACGTTACATTTGACTTAAATATCACGTGTCAGGAACGTAGTAGCGACCTTAACAATTACGTCACCAAAATAACGAAAATGTAACGTACTTACATTACGTCATATATACGTGGCCAATCTAAATTTCTGGTAACGTTGATATCGAACGTTGTAGGTACAGGAAGGTGTGGACTCGCACAGATGTTTAAAGAACGTTACATTTGACTTAAAATTTCACGTGCCAGGAACGTGGAACCAACCTAAACGATGACTTCGCCAAAATAACGAAAATGTAACGTACTTACATTACGTCATAAATACGTGGCCAATCTAAATTTCTGATACGTTAATTATGGAACGTTGTAGGTACAGGAAGTTGTGGACTCGCACAGATGTTCAAAGAACGTTACATTTGACTTAAATATCACGTGCCAGGAACGTAGAACCAACCTAAACGATAACTTCGCAAAAATAACGAGACTGTAATGTGCTTATGCAACGTCACATATACGTGGCCAGTTTTAAGTTCTGGTATGTTATTTATGGAATGTTGTAGGTACAGGAAGGTGTGGACTCGCACAGATGTTTAAAGAACGTTACATTTGACTTAAATATCACGTGCCAGGAATGTAGAACCAACCTTAACAATGACTTCGCAAAAATAGTGAGACTGTAATGTGCTTATGCAACGTAACATATACCTGGCCAGTTTAAAGTTCTGGTAACATTTGTCTTGGACCGATGTAGGCACAGGAAGGTCTGGACTCGCACAGATGTTTATACAACGTTACATTTTACTTAAATATCATGTGCTAGGAATGTAGTAGCAACCTTAACAATGACTGCAAAAATAAAATAACAGACTGTAACGTGCTAATGCAACGTCACATATACGTGGCCAAGTTAAAGTTCTGGTAACATTAACTATAGAACGTTGTAGGCAAAGGAAAGTGTGGACACGCATAAATGAGTATACAAGTTACGTTCGACTTAGATATCACGAGCCAGGAATGTAGTATCAACCTTAACAACGACTTTGCCAAAATAAAGAGACTGTAACGTGCTTGTCACATACATGGCAAATTCATAACTTCTGGTTACATCAAGTTAGGACAACACATGCAAGGAATGTTCTAGTAACCTTAACTATGCCATCAACAAGATATAGTGATAGTAATGACTAACGTCCAGTTAAATGAATCATTACATGAACATAATTTAAAGTTCCTGTACAGGAAGATGTAGACACCGATGTTCAGTAAAATTATATATAACACACTAAGCCTAACATTTTCACATGTGAAGGTAAAACACAACTAACTTATGCTTTGACTTATTAACAAATGTATATTGTTTTTCCAATAATTAATGAGTTAATACACAAGAACTTTTTTGAGCATCCAAATAGAGAATATTGACGCACAGAATTGAACTTAAATATAATTACAGTCTCGTATGTCATCTATCAAAAATCTATCCTATCGTTAATAAGTTTTATTAAGTATTTTATTAACCCCTAAACGGTTAAGGGGGTGGGGAGATTTGCCGTTCTGGCTTGTCTTAAAATTGAATTAGGCATATTTTAACTAATAAATCGTGACTATATTGTATTTACTGAGGGATATAGACTGTATCAAAAATCGAGCATTCAATAACTGATTTATCCTATACTTAGTAGATTATGAGAATTAATATGCATTGAAATTTCCCATTTTTCCCCAAATTTTTTTTCACATTTTAAAAAAAAAGATTTTCACATTTTTTTCAAATTTTTTTTTCAAATTTTATTTTTCAAAATATGAGTTAGGCTATATGAGTTTGATAATCTCAGAAACTTAAAAAACCACTTTAAAACACCAAGAAAATGTGTATCTTAAGTATATTTTTGAATTTTGGAACTTTATAAGGTATATGACGTACCAAGAACATCAGTAGGTATGAAATACATCTGTTATG